TGGGAGGAGCCTGCACAGAGTGCCACAGAGTCTATAGATGCTTTTACAGAAGTGTCCAGGATAAGCAAATCCACAGAGACAGGATATGTTAGTGATTGCCTGTCAACAAGGGATGAGGTCAATGGACTGTGAAGTAATGGTTAGAAAAGAAATTTTTTTCTCGTCACTTAAGAATTTTAAAATTGTATTGTGGTGCTGGCTGCTCAATGCTGTGGCCGTATCTCTGAAAATAGCAGCACTGAGCTGTGAGCTTTAAACGAGCGATTTCTTCAGTATGTGAACTACATCCCAATAAGGCTGCATTAAGTCAAATTAAGCAAGCTGTTTCTTCTGCTCCTAGAGCTCACGTCACTCTCCCCTGCTGGGCCAGCCCAGTAGCTAAGGAGAATACAGGGCACACGGCTGAGGATACCGGCCTGGGCGGGGCAGGGGCAGGGGCCCAGCAGGTCGGTGCAGAAGGGAATGTCGGCAGACGCTCACCACAGGGAGCTCTGGGTACAGGGCCAGCACCTGCAGGGCAGGGAGCCTCCTTGCACCACGATGGCCCCACTGTTTGACTCAGCGTGTTTGCACAAGTCCACAGACTTTTATCCCCTGAGAACATTTTAAACTTCTTGCCACTGCCATGTTTTCCATACTTCAACAGCTCACTGGAACCTATAAAGGTTCATGGGAACGTGTTAAGCTAGATATGGAAAAGCACATCTGTAATTGTAGTACTCACAGGACTGGGAGTTTGAGGTCAGCCTTAGCTACACAGAGTTTGAGGCCAGTATGGATGAGGTGAAAGCCTGTGCTCCCCTCAAAATTAAAAATAAAGATGACAAATGAAAACTTTCTGCTCTGGACTTTGTCCTGAGCACACAAGCATGCTCGGAGCAGTCACTTGGCCCTAAGGGGGACATCCCTGCCTACTGGGTGCTGCATTCAAGTCATGGTCACCCAGTCCCCAGGCCATTTAGCTCCCATGCTGCAGTACAGACACCTCAGCTCTGACCCCCGAGTCTTGCTACCAAGCAGAAGTGGTCAGGGTGATGATGTTTTCAGATCACTTCACACAAAGTGGAAGGACTAGCTCTCTAAATTCCAGAGGCACACAGGCAGAGCTGACAGGGATAGCTTAGTGGTGTTAACAGGCACGTGAGCAGCCAGCTACACCAGTCACTGTGGCTTCCCTGGCTTCTGGGTGACGGGACAAGAAGCACAATACAAAGACACACGCGAACAATCAGGCGCTTGGCCTGAAAGACTTCATCCTGAGACTGGTCTTTACTCACCACAGAGAAGCAAGAGTAGATGAAAGTAAACACACCCCTCAACCCTGCATCGGGAAGGCTACAGCACAGGTTCCCAAGTCTAAGTCCTACGGAGCAGAACCCCATCTTAAAAGGAATTTTTAAAAAAGCTGTCAACTCCACACAATCTGCTCTGCCCTGCCATAGAATCCTACAGAAGGAGAACCTTGACTTCAGAACTCCCTATTCAAGTACATTGCAGCAGCCAGCAAGTACAACTCTTAAACAGAACAGTGCTGCCGAGGGCAGCAAGTCCTTGGGTATCAGGCCAGATTCACCAAGACAGGAGAGAAACACCGCCACCAAGTGGCGGCAGCCTCGCAAGTCAAAGCGGCTGCTTCAACAAAGGGAGCAGGAACTCAGAATCCTGGAGAGTTGGAAAGGAACAGAGCTCAGGTCAAAGTCTGAACATGATTTAGGGGGTCGAGGAGAGTCCAGCTGGGGTGCTTAAAAATACTCCCAGGAAGGCTGGGTAAAGCTCAGATGGGAGAGTAACTGCCCCATGTGCAAGCCGCCCTTAGTCCAATCCCAGCACAGCCTTCAAACAAAGCAAACTGCAGAGACAAATACCAACCCACCACCACCACCACCAAAAAACAGACTCAGTGGCACACCTGCGTAATCCCAGCACTCAGAAGTGGAGGTAGAATCAAGAGTTCAAGGCCAGCATCAGCTACAAAGCAAGTTCAATGTCTGCCTGGGCTACTGCGGACCCAGCCTTCCTTAACAACGAATTCCCCAGATGGATGTGATGCTCAGTGAAAGCCAAGAAAATGATAGTGGAGACATGGATATGGTGCTCATATTTTCCACTATATCACCCACTAAGATCTCCCCGAGGTACATGAATTCCTTTTGCACAGTAACACAGAAGCCACATTGAAGATCACTTCCATGCTTCAGTTTGGCCAAAACTATTTCCACCTCAGTTCACGTGTTCTCTAATGCAGAGTTCTTCACGCTTTAAGTAGGGCAGGCTGACCTGGCTGTTCTCCCAAGACAAAAAAAATCTTTCAACTTTGGCTTCACTAGACTATCTACTCACACAATGGGTTTCAAGTCAATAAATCATTGTTATTTATGCCAAAAGAGTTTCTTTCCCCTTTTCAAGACATGTCAAAGTCTGAAGGCATCTATTGTTGGCAAAATGCAACTGTGACATGAAATACTTAGATGAAAAGAAATAGATGAAGACTAAAACTGTTCCCTGGCACAGATGGAACAAAAAGACTCTCTCCCGTTCCATGTGGAGCGCTGCCTAAAAATTATTTCATAATGACAAAGAGTTCTCTTTTGTATGGTACACCGAGAAAAGAAACTAGAGGGTAGGCACCACTGAGTATCTAGTTAAAAGCTGCTTTCCAGCATCCTGTGCAGGCCTGACAATCAGGTGAGAGTCCTTGGCAAAGAAAACAACTTGGTAGACACCGAGTCCCTGGACCCATCCACAGGGAAAGGCCCTTTGCAGAGGATGAGGGCAGACAGCTGCTGTCCCACATACAGCAAGCAGCGTTTTCGACGGTTGCCCTTTTATTCCTTATCTTTGTTTCCCCATCAAAGCCTGCTTCTCCGTATACACCTCTTCTCATAAAAGGTCACTTGGCAGCTCAGAAACTAGCACAGCAGGCACAAGGCCCTGTGTTTAATTCCTGCCACCACAAAGAAAGCAAGTCATTGAGAACTGAGATCACTGGAGCCTCTGGACCTGAGAGCCCCGAGTCTACCTGCAGAGGCTCAGGGCCGTCTCAGAGAGACTAGCTAGATCAGACTCACTGTGGCTGCTTACTCTAACTTGCTTGCTCACACTGGGCTATTCACATCAGTATGCGAGGGACAGCCTTTCAGAAGAAATGGTGGAGGAGCTTGGGATGCAGCTGGCCCCACCTCATCACAATCCACTCTTCAACAAGCTCGACAAAGGACTCCCAGTCTCCTTGAAGCTGCTGCAATACTGCTCTCGCCCATGAATGGACACAACCACCACATGGGCAGCCGTGTGCACAACTTTGCCCAGGACAAGCACACCGCCACCCACTTGTCTCCTGTAGGGCCAACAGTGAGGCTCTGAAAACAAGGGACCAATTCCAAGGCAGAGCACAGGGTGTCTGCCCTCAGCCATGCCCTCGGATGCACTCCTGAGCACACCCGACCTACCACAGCTTTGCCCTGATTTACTAGCACTCTGTGGCACCACCGGGACAGAGTGAATACTTTACCAAGTACGGTCCTTTCAAATGCTCACTGCCACAAATCCTCTGCCCAGAGAACCAATGGTACGGGAAGGGAGAACATGCCACCCAGAGGCAACAACAGTGAGCAGGCAACACCATCCGGGGCATCATGAAGCCCTGGGCTTTACAGTTAAGCCACCAAGCAGCTGTTAGCATCTTATTTCATGACCACTGTTTGTCTCGCCATAGGTGAATAAAACTCAGTGGTTTCCTATTTATCATGCAGCTTTGCTTCCATGTGGAGAGTGCGGCAGCACGTTTAATCCAGATTTAACCCACTGTCTAGATGTAGGCTCAAAAGTAGAGCTTGCCCTCTCAGACTTTGTCAATCTTGTCAGTCTCTCAAAACTCCAACCAGTCACTGCTCAGCTCAAAAGGGGAGCGGGGCTGCAGAGGTAGAGCTCATTGCTAGAGTACCTGCCTGGCGTGTGCGAGGGCCTGAGTGGGGTTTCCCTACAATTTCCAGGCAGTGAAACTTTATGTACAATTGAACTATTCTCCATCAGGTAGGTGTCTCATATAAGACTTAGATTCTTGAGACTTATTTCACAGGGCTTGGACAGCGAAAATGGCATTCCGGGCAAGTATGGTGGGAGATGATATTTGCCTGGTCTAATCTCATCACCAGCTCACGCTGTATTCCCCTTCTTTGTAAGAACTTTCTCCAGGACCTGGCTCAGACGGGAAATCAGAACCCCTAGTTCAGGAGCACACCACTGCTCGTGCAGCAGCGCACCACTGAGCAGCCACGGCTCGGGTCAGGGCCCTCTTCCAAGAGCAATGAAGGCTGTACTCAGGGACGAGTACAGATGGCCCTGCCACTTAAGGAAGTAGTAATGTTCCCTCTCAGTTTAGATCAAAACTGTACCACTGGAGTCTAAATGAGGAATGGGTAGTCACTGGAGCAACTGAGTTTGTGCAAGGAACCACCCACTTTTCTACCAACACTTCAGTGATTTTTCTTTCTAATATGATGAATTTTAAATACTTGCCAGGAGTGGTAGCACACACCTTAATTCCACCTCTTGAGAAGCAGGGGCAGGTGGATCTCTCTGAGTTCAAGGCCAGCCTGGTCTATATAGTTTTCAGGCCAGCCAGGACCACACAGTGAGACTCGGTCTCATCAACACACACACACACACACACACAAGGCTTCTAATCAGCCTTACGCTCTCTTATCTAGGTCTGGCAAAGGTCATAATCTTGGGTTAATGGTGAGACTTTTGGACGACTCTAGCCAGCCCGAGGCTCTCTGGGGAGGGCTGGAGTCTGACCAAGGCCCACCTTGTCCCTGTCTGCAATGTTAAGGCCACTGCTGCCAAGCAGGGCCCTTCACGACTTCTGTGGCCTTCCCTAATGCGACCTCAGAGACTGCTCTGACACTCCAGCCAATGACCTGCTCTCCATCTTCCTCCCAGCAGCAGGGCACTTCAGACCTCTGTGTTATTGAGGCACTCCTCAGGGGTGGCCTTACCTTCGTATCTGCTTGGGGAGTCACAGGCCTTCTGTGGAGTGGCCACTCGAAGGAATATCTGCTGTCTCCAGGAATGCCGCCGGGTCTTCATGGGGGTCCCGTCTGTGTCGCCCAGGTGGTTTGCTTTGGATTCAAGGTCCCTATAATGGTAAGATTCATGAGAGGTGATTCATGAGAGGTGGGGAGGCAACAGGATTTATTTTCAGATGACTTTATCTCTCCATAAACAGATAACTTGATAAGCACAGAAGCTAAATCAAAGCCACAGTGGGTCAGTGTTCCTAAAGGGCACTTGTGCAAAAGAACAAGTTTCCATGCCCTGTTCTACTGCTATCATAAGAGATATTCTAAGAGGTATGCTCCACAGATCATAGCGTCCAACTGAGCCTTTCTGGGGCTTCTTCAGAAGAGAAACACTAACTATGTAGCTAGGGCACTGTCACCAGAGCCCCAGTCCACACTGGTCAACACGTGGGACGCTTTTCTTAGCACCAGCCTATCTCCATGACTGACACAAATCTCTCTCCCCCACACGGCACGGCATACAGCCACAGCACACATTCAGCCACGAACCCCCCAGACACCACACACACACCATCCCTTCCCTCCCACCCTGACTCCATCCCCTTCCACATGCATGCAAACAGAAGGTCAGCTGTGGCTTAATTAGAGAGAACCATCAAGGAACTAATGATACAATCACTGGTGATGTTGGCTGCTTTAAAACTTTTAGCTTCAAAACTATAAAACAAACTACATTTGTTAATATGTAAATAGAATCTCATTAATTTTCTTTCCGTTCACAAGACAACTTGAGCAGGCCCTTGCAGCTTACACTAGGTTTGTGCCACAGTGAGGCAGACAGGTGACCTTGTGGGGACAAGCACAGGTCCTGTCCTTTAACAGCCTACAAAACCATAAAGACAGTAACAACTTCCACAAACTGACCCTGTGCAAAGCTGGAGAGCAAGGTGGCTGCCAGCCTTACAAAGGACACTTAAGGGAAGAACCAACATAAGAAAGTGGCATTGTAGACTCAGCCACAATGTTCCAAATGGCAAAGATCAGCGGAAATGTCCCATCTATCCCACAGTAATGCAGCACTCAGACCATCAGACCTGACGATTTAAATCAAACCCTACCTGTTCGTGCTCATAAAGTCACAGGTGTTATTTTCATCTACAGGAGCCAGAAATTTTAGAAAATTTGGCACAGAGGAGGAAGAATGGAGTTTTTTCCGCAGGGCATTACGGTAGGAGACACTAAGAGTTTGGTTGAAAAAAGAGTTTAGGATAAAGAAATATAAACACACGAAATACACACTCTAAGCTTAAAAAGGAAACCTAGTCACTGTAATGCTAAGCAGGAAACCAGGTAAGACATTTAAAATATTCTGAGTGACACTGACGTTCATTTTCAGTCAATAAATTAAATTAAAAAAAAAAAAATCAGTCTACCTTCCAAATGACAAGAACAAAAAGTTTCTGACAGGGTACAAAATGCAGTGTATGCAATCAGCTGTTAGGCTGCGCGCATGCATGTGTTCCCAGAGAGGTGGAATGATGTGACAGTTAAGTGTTAACACAGTTCGCCCCGGAAACTTTTCCCAACAGTTTAAAGAAAGCAGAGTAAAAAGCCAACTCCAAGGACAGCTAAAATGGTAAAGCCAAATAAAACCAAGAAGCCCCCCCAGACCCCAAAGCGGTGAGCGGGGCTTCCTGCAGGGACGGCCCGCATGCGCTGGGCTGTCAGGGTGAGCTGCTGGCACACAGGCAACACCCAACTTGCCATGCGAGTGTGCTCACCTTTTGGGCACAGCATTGCCACTCTGTTCTCCACTTGAACTGTGTTTTAGGTACTTAAAAAAGTTTGGTGAGGAGGCGGAGGGGTTAAGACGAGGCGGAGGAGGGGCTGAAGGCTGCCCTGAGCAACACTTAGACTCACCCCCAGGAAGATGGTCCACACTAAACAGCAACCAGAGAGAGAGGGTTAGAGGGAACAAGGACACTTGGAGGAGGACAGAAGCAGAAGGACGCAAGGCTTTGCCGAGCATCTACTGGACTCGGCAGTTGGGGCTTTTCTTCACTCCTCTCTGCTCTCACGGATAGACACTGTCAGGCCCAATAACACCTTCTGCTCTGTTCCCTTGCTGGGAACCAACATAAAATTTTAGAAGTAAAACAATAAAGAAAATAATCCAAAATTTAGAACTCTTATTTCCCTTTGGGACATCTTGCCCTGAATTTCAAAGTCCTGTTTCCTATAGACTAGGGGGGAAAATTCACAAGAAAGAAAGCCAAATAAACATGCAAAAGGTGGACATTTCCCCTTCCCTCCCATGACAAAGCTGTACTCTTAGGGAGAGAGGAAACATAGCAGCTCTCAGCACTCTGTCCTTCCATCTGAGGACTGACAAAGAATTCAGGCTTTCGGGTAGGAATGTTTCCAACACCACAAAAAAAATGCCAGGGAGGGGGGATGGGCACACAGCCACGCTGCAGAGCGGTGCTCACAGGGTACTGGAAGGAGGGAGCACCTCAGACTCCAGCTGAGCCTCCCAGTACACAGTCCTGGAGGACGTCTGCCTCCTGCCATCAGTCACCGGATGATCCCAGTGAGCAGCTCAGGAAAGCCACTGAAGGCTGTGTTTGTGCTCCAGGAGTGTTTGCATGTCGCGTCTTCCCTCCACACACGTCAAACCCCAACCGCTGCATCGAATCAAATGGCTGCCCCAGTACAACTCACACGGACATACGAGTTCCCAGCGTAGGAGGCTGCTACCATACACAGGTATGCCCCGTTTTTAAAACTTATTTTAAAGGATAATTTGTGGCCCGGTTACAGCTCCTGGCACTTGGGGTTGGTCAATAATAGACCCAGGAAAATACAGTGAGGGCTTCTGCCAACACACTGCTCACTACATCTGGAAAAGCTTAATTTAAAGATTGTTGGCTAGTTTCATGTCAAGTTGACATGAGCTACAGTTATCAGAAAGCAAGGGGCCTCAACTGAGAAAACGCCTCTCTTTTCTCATCAGGCTGTAGGCAAGCCTGTAGGGTGTTTTCTCAATTAGCGACTGATGGGGGAGTGTCCAGACCACTGTGGGTGGGGCCATCCCTGGGCTGATGGTCCTGGGGTTTTATAAGAAAGCAGCTGAGGGAGCCTTGAGAGCAAGCCAGTAAGCAGCTCCTGCCTCCGAGTTCCTACTGTGTGGGTTCCTGTCCCCATTATTCTTCAGTAATGGACTATGACATGGAAGTGTAAGCCAAATAAACCCTTTCCGCTCCAACTTGCCCTTGGTCATGGTGTTTCATCACAGCAGAGTAACCCTAACAAGACAAGCAGTGAACACCAAATCTAGAATTCCCACAGTGGCAGGTTCCAGAAAGCATCAACTCTGCTTCTGTCACAGAGTCTTTCAGTAAATATGCCCGGATGACACCTAGATCAAGACACTGGGGCCAGTGCTCAGGTTCCTGGGTGTCTCTGTGGGCATTGTGACACACCTCTCCGAATCTGCCTGTATGAACACTGTCCCACCACAGGCCTGATCTAGGTATTGAAAGGAGGAAATTCCTCCACTCACACCCATGTGCCAACTTTCCCAAGACCAACAGACAGGCTCAAAGTCACCATCTCGTGTATTAAGGACTGGTGATGCACATAAGGACCATTTTTGCTCATGTCTACCTACTTGCTAACAATGCTTGCACCTACCTCTACACACTTCCCGAGGGAGCCGGAAGACCATGCACTGCTTCAAGTTTTATCCTTTGAAGCCAAGGGTCAAACCTGGCTCAGGTTACTCTTCTGCCCAAAAAGCACATTCAGCATCCACTATGAACCTGATGCTTTCAGCAAATCTTACCTGCATTCATGAGGCGTCTCTGTGCTCACGGAGTGATACCTCATGAGCTTTCTTTGAGAGACCCCTGGAGAGCTCTGAGCAGGTTCTGGGGGCACCAGGCACTCGACAGGGAAATGGCTCAAGGTGTTGGCTCTCCTTCTGAACGCCTGCTGGGGTGACAACAGAGCGGACTCTTCTGCAATGTGGCTCTCTGAGTCACTAGACAGGTCATCTGAAGAGCCAAGAAGCTTGAAGGAGCTCTCAGAGATGGGCAAGGCCTCCTTGTCATCCATGGATAGCTCCTGACAACAGACACACAAAAGATTAGACATAGCATGGGGAAATGGGATGGGGGTTAATAATCTAATACAGGGAACCGTTAAATGCATGGGCCTATCTGACTAGAATAGAGGCTACCAAAAACATAAGGCTTTTAAGGCTGTAACATGATACCTGCTTCTCAGAGACAGGTGTGTGCTTGCTGAGGAGAGGGGAAAAGTCCCAAACGCAACAGTGAAGTTTACAAGCTGCAGCCCTGACTCTCTAATACCACGGACAGATTGCTCACTCCAGAGAACAGGCTCTTCACAACCTTTTAGGAAGTATGGCCCTGGATGGACAGTTTCCACCATTTAACCAACTTCTTTATCTTTGCCAAGTATGTTCATGGATGTTTACTCACACTTGAAGGCTCTTTGTGACTCTGATCTAATGTTAGATTTAACTTGGCAATCTTGATATTAAAATCTAAACCCTGCATTCGTCCTGGAGTAGAAACATGTTTGTCACATTGTACCTTTCACTTCACTTCCTGCTGTGTTTCACCATCCTCCTCTGTAAGAGTGCAGTGAAAATTCACTGCACTATTTCTTGAATTGAGCAAGATAAGACACTGTAAAGTGGTCCATATTCCATCCAATGATGCAGAAATAAGCTGAAGTTTCATGAAGCTTGCCCTCCTTACTGTGTGCTCAAACATCCAGCAAGAACCCTAACAAGCCAAGCCTGTCGATCATGCCTGTAACTTCTGATTCTAGGAAGCAGAGGCCAGAGGACCAGAGTTCTGGGCCAGTGTAGGATACACATCAAGGTCGGCCTCAGCTAGGTACAAGATCAGAAAAGGGGAGGGGACACACAAAAACAGAGAGTGTCAGGGACTTCTTCATCGACACCACACTATCTGAAGTCCCTCTCCCTGCCTTGTTTCCTCGGCACAATTTCCACGCTTTCTTCAAGATTTAACTCACAGCAGCAGTACCCTTCCCTTCTCCAAGCGTTCCACCACCAACACACTCCTGACACAGGGTCTACTCTAACCGCCTGCTCTCGCCTATGGGCCTACTCATCTTTTAAAGCAGGTAAACCAGGAGGCTAGATGATGATGCAGCCTGCGCATGTAGAAAAGCACATGCAGACTGGCTCCCGGCCTCACCGCACAAAGCCAGTCTACACATCCAGCAGGAGCGGCGGGCGACACCCCCTTGCTGCTTATCAGTTGGCATTTGGACCCACCCAGGACAAGTGAACCACAGATGCACTGTAAAGCCCGGGTCAAGCTCTCCCAAGGAGGCGGGTCTCAAGCCACACAGTGCACACACTGGCAGGCAGCAATATCAGCTCAGTGCTCATCACAAGCTTTCTGAGAATAACAATGTATGCAGCGCACTGTTCAGAAAATAATTCCATTTAACTCATTTCATTTTTTGAGAGGGTTATGTGTGCTTGCTAACTATTTCACAATGTTAAATGTCTGTCTTATTGTTGGCAAGTATCTGAAGCCTTTGAAAACTCCAAGTCTAGGACATAGCTCTGAACATTTTAACACAATTCTCTGGTAAGGAGCTGGGGTTCACATACTTCCTCATTCTTGCATCAGAGCAAACTGAAAATAGGGAGGAAAGCTGCTTCCTGAACATCAAACCTCAAACTTACTTCTTGGCAGTCACAGGATTAAGCAAACCAGATCCAGACCTGTGTAAATGCCTCTGGAACAAGACAGGAAAGCAAGGGGCCACACCAGGTGTGTCCTCCTGAAGACTGCCTGCCAACTCATGTGCTCCGTGGAGACCATGGGTTAGGCGTGGCTGCTTATTTAGGCGAAACAATCGTGTTTTCTTGCAGCCATTGGGACAGCTGCAGGACAGCCTCGGGATTTATGCTGCACAGCTCCCTGAATTCACAAACCCCCCACCTCTAAAGCTCTCTCAATTTTTTATTATTGCAAAATCTACTTTGGTTAAGAAACCCACAGTTGTTACAAATTGTATCTCATTTGTCTAAAATTACAGTCTCGATTCTTTGTTTATGGGAACAGTTATTTGCCTTTTCATTTAAAACTTTTCACATGACTAGCCCTCCACGTGTGCAGAGAAGTCTGGAAACACTAAACGTTTTATGACCACAGGACCGTGGACTTTCTTGTCCTTTCTGACAGCTGTGCAGACAGAAGAGGGGCAGCTTGTTGGCTGGCCTTCAGGGCAGCACTGAGAGAGAAGCGAGCTTACTTTGCTGGTGTTACTTAGAGTACTAGAAGTAGAGCTGTCCAGGTCCGTGCTGGCAGAGTGGGCCTGCGGGCCTCTGGCTTTATTACCCTGCAAAAGAAGAGGCAGGTGAGACCCAGCCCTTGCTACGCAGGCTCAGAGAAAAGCTGACAGACGGCTGAGCACACTCATGCAGTAAGTCATCATTTGAAGAACCATACCAACTGAAGCAATCTCCAGAGCCCCGCAGATCAGCAGTCGCTGGGGATGACAGACTCAACTCATTTATGAAGAAGAGCCAACTCATCTATGAGGATCCCCAAAGCACCCCAATAGCTCTCTCCTGAGTCACAGTTGCTACCTGGCCACCTGCATGCCACTCAATCAACCTTCGCCCATCTTCTAACTCTCAAAGGCAAGCCCTTCCAGACTTTTTTTTTTTTTTTTTTTTGTAATTTAATTGTTTTGAATTATCTTAAAGGATATTGTTGGCTGGACAGTGGTGGCACATGCCTTTAATCCCAGCACTCAGGGAGGCAGAGGCAGGAGGATCTCTGTGAGTTTGAGGCCAGCCTAGTCTACAAAGCAAGTCCAAGAGAGCCAAGGCTAAACCCTGTCTTGAGAAAACAAACAAACAAACAAACAAAAACACACACACACAGAATAATCAAGGGCCAGGAATGGTCACACATGACTTTAAAAGAAAAAACAAAAAGGATGTTGTAAAATACCATTGGGCAAAGTCACCTTTAACTGATTAAATGAAGTCCATGTGTCAGAGGGAATAAGCCCTAATACTCGAAGAGCTATAACAAAATAGTGCGAAGACATGAGACTCTGACAGAAAACCAAGTTTTGATTTGTTAAAAGTGACATAAGGGTGTCTAAATGCATGGGATGAGAGGATGCTCAGTGTACATGGGTCTTCCTGGAGAGCTCCAGCTGGCAACTTTTTCTACAAAAGATCTTGAAAACAAGTTATCTCATAAGCACCTTACCATTTGTAAGTCATGTGGCCTCTGTAACAAGCACTCAAGTCTCTACGAAAGTAGCCTTAGAGAACAGGTGACTGGATGAATGGTACTGTGTAGATAAAGTAAGCTTTATTTGCAAAACCAAAGAGACTGGTAGGATTTGGCCCACGGGTTAAATATTTTAAATACCTAACAAAAGGAGGTGACAGGATAGTTTTTGAACTTGTCCCTAGAGACACTAGAAAAGCTGGTACCTACATCTTGGCATACATAATCTACATTCTTTATAGGAACTATACAAAGAATAACACTCTTGGGAGCAAAGACTGTAGAAGAGTGTAACTTCCCAGCACTAGGATTGGGAGAATGAGGTCAGACTATTTACACAGTGTGACACTATCTCAATAAATAAATGGATAAAAAAGTAAATATCATGTGGACAATTATTGCTCTGATGAGAAATAAAATAGAGCTAAATCTTAGGCTCTATTTAAGATGGTGCTACTTACCCGAGACAGAATGCTTTCCAAGGACTCTGTTAAAGACCTCTTTGCTCTGTTCTTCAGTGAATCTAGCCTGAACCGGCTGGCACTGGGGGGCAGTTCACTCCCAATGTTCTCTGCTGCCACCTGAGGGGTCTAGAGGAGAGAAACACTGAAAGTTAGGTCGACTAGCGCTTCTCCCTTTGATGTACACGGAGGAGCAAGCTCTGGCCCGTCCTTCTGAGAGCCCGGGGACCCTTGTGCTCCTAGCAGCACGCCTGCAACTCCAGCGCAAACGTTGCTACCTCACGTGAAATGAGAATATGTGCCTGAATCTAATCAGCTAGCCCGGCCAAGCGACTGAATCAGACATCTGCTATTTCCCAAATGTGGCTGTGTGCAAAGTTCCCATTTTCTCCGAGCCTGGATTTCCACTCCAGTAACCTGGCAGTGACAATCATCTAATCATACCACTTTGCTCTGAGACTACAACCAGTGGGAATAGGGCAAGCAGCGAATATAGGAATGGGACGGAAACTACTTTGCTAACCTTTTAAAATAAAATAAAGCAATCACTTACCTGGGAGCATTCAGACACTAAGTAGTCTTGGGTGTTCTCAACTCACTTTGTAGACCAGGCTGGCCTCAAACTCACACTGATCTGCCTGCCTCTGCCTCCCGGAGTGCTGGGAATAAAGGCCTGCACCGCTATGCCCAGCTTTGAATCCATCTTTTCTATAGTAAGCCCTTCATCCCTTTTTAGAGTCTATCTTTTTTTCTTTTTCTACCTCTTCTGTTATTTCATGATCCCTTTCTTTCTCCTTTGAAACCAAGCTTCCTTCTCTCAGCTACACACAACATTTAACCAAGAGCATGGTGAAATTTGACAGCCACTAAATATATGATGTTTCTTGTAAGCAAAGAGGTATATTTCCAAAAAAATTATCCCCCAAATCTACACGCTATGTTGCTTACATGGAGCCTCACCTGACTGCTTCCTGTTAGATGATGGGTTTGTCAGAAAAAGACAAGCAAGCAAATTCTCACTCTAGATACCAGCACACTCTTTGCAGTACTTGTTAAGTACCTCAAGCACAGAGGAAAGTGGAGAGACTAACACAAAAATGCCTTTGCCCTACTCAAGCCTGGCCAAGTCCACATAGCCAGGAGCTGAGGAATGGGAGGAGGCGCGCATCCCGGGACAGACAGACAGCTGACTGCCCCTGCTGGTCCCGAGCTGTGTGGGACAGCCAGTGCGTCAGCTGCTGCCCCTGTAGACTCAATTGTCTTCCTGACCTGTCATGACCTGTAGGTGAATTAGTGCACATTCCGCCAGTCAGAACTCAGCGCCTGCTCCACGCCTGTCGCTGCCCAAGCCCCTCCCTGTGCTCTGGCTCCTGCTCTTAGTGGGGGTCATTAGACTCATGAAAGCCTCCTGACACCAGTTACTGCCACCCTGACAACACTCTCCCGAATGTGGTGCTTACTCTAGCAACTCAGACTTCGTATTTTTATCTACCTGTATTCATAAAATAGATGCTGCCTAACATGCAAATAAACACCTAAGTCAAAGGCGTCCTTGCCCATGGGAACGGGAATTGGTGTGACCACTGCGGAAGTCAGCATGAAGCTTCTTCAAAACTCTAGAAACAGAGCTACCCTATGAGCCAGGAAGGCCACTCTTGGTTATGTATTCACGGGAGTCTAAGCCAGCATACAGAGATGCCTTCATATCCATGTTTACTGCAGCACTATTCAAATTAGCAAGGAACAGAATCAGCTTAGATGCCCATTAACGAAATGAATGGATAAAGGAATGTGGTGCACATACACAGCAGTTTTAGTCAGACACGCAAAAGAACAAAATTACGTCATTTAAAGGGAAATTGATGGAACTAGAGAAAATCACATTAACTGAAATAAGCCAGACTCAGAAGGACAAATGACACTTTTTCTCTCCTATGTGGAATCTAGACTCAAATACAACACACACACACACACACCAAACTGCACACAACCTTCTATAATTACCTTTCTCCTTCCAATATGGTTTCTGAGGGTCACCCAGGCTGACAAGTGTTTTCGGTGACTCACTTCAGCGAGCGCACATTGTGACTGCATTGTCTAACCTACCTCTTCCTGGTATTAGGTATTTATTCCACTGTCCTGCTCTCAGGGAGGAGGCTGCAGTGAAGTCTCCTGTGAGCTCTCCTTAGGCACCCACAGGAAAGGCTTTATGGGGAAATAATGGGGATGCCCTTGCCGGGGCACAGGGACTGAGCATCTGCAGCCACAGCAGTATCTTCATGTTTCTCTCCCTGAAATGATTCCAGTCCGTAGCCTTAGCATCAGCATACAAGGGCCCACCATTCCAGGGCACTGTTAGCATTCTTTCTTTTCTGCCAAACAATGGCTACACAAGGCTCTTTTAATATAGCCTAATTCCTACTGCTAAGTAAACATTTTTTAAAGAGTTTTTCAACTATTCAAAGACTCTATGTCTTCTTTGAAATAATAAAATCCCAATTCACTGATGAATGCTCTACCCCGTCAGTGTTTATGAGAGAAAGGGGGTTCAGACAAGAGTCACCCTCAGACAAAAACTACATAATTATCCACTTCCATAATTCCCTTTATTACTCAGCATTAGAACACATGTGAGAAGAACAGCTGTCAGCTTAAAATTTTCTTCAAGAAGGGACACTGACATTTACCCCGCGTTCTCCTAGGAGGCAGCAGCGAGTAGGAGATATGTGGACGTGCAACACTGGCTTAAGAGCCGTGTCCACCCCAGAGGCCTGCGGGAGCACACGCCTGAGCAACAGAGACAGACGGCACCAGCACCTGCTCGTGTTCTGCACTCCAAGCAAGCTCTCTGTGAGCTGCAAGTGGTCCCACACACTGATGCCAAGAATAAGAGTGCCCAGGCTCAAGGCAGGGCAGCCGTCAGGGTAGACCCTCACCCACAAACGGCCCGCCCTGAGGAGGCCCCCACCAGGT